CCACGCACTTGCCGCCATGGGCTTCAGCCACAGAGCTGTTTGGAAGCCTCGAGGCGAAGGGGTAGGGTCTAGGAAAGGCAGGGAGGAAGTCCCTGATTGCATGTGGATTCCAGGGAGTCGGGCTCACGTGCTTCTGTCGCTGAGCCAGCAAGACGGCATTGAGCAGCACATGGACTTTGACAGCCGCTATACGTTGCTGGAGCTGTTTGCAGAGACCACATCCTCAGAGGAACACTGCATGGCCTTTGAGGGTGTCCACCTGCCTCAGGTACTCCAACTGCTGTGGGGAAGATGCTGTGTCTGAGGCTGAGGGTGTCGATTCTGAAAGTGTGGCTCCAGACTGTGCAACAGCCCCAGCGCCACCTGGGGGCTTGTTAAGTGAAGGTTCAACTCCTAGACTTTATTAGAATTTCTGAGATTGGGGTGGGGGAAGGGGGGCGTGACCAGGAACCTTCGGTTTTAAGATGCGCCATGTGTTCTTCAAAACAAAGTTTGGTGATGACTGGCCTTTCAAGTTTTAGGTGGAGAATGGCACTCGGGTGTAGGGGCCAAGGAGGTGGGGCTGAGGAGGGGCTAAATCTGAGAGATGATGGATGAACTGAGGCTGTGGGTCATGTCCTGCAGATCCCAGGGAAGCTGCTCTTCTCCCTGGTGAAGCGCTACCTGTGTGTCACTTCCCTGCTGGACCAGCTCAATAACAGCCCAGAGGCAGGGGCTGGAGACCGTGGGACCCTCTCCCCCACCAAGAAGGAGTCCGGCCAGGAGAAGAGCCGAGGGCAGCGGGAGTTGGAGTTTGGTATGGCTGTGGGCAACCTCATCTGCGAGCTGGTGCGACTCATGGGCTGGGCCCGGAACTTCAGGGAGCTGGGCCCGATACCACCCCGGCCCATCCGCTCCATCTTTCAGCCCTGTACCTCAGGCCCCAACCTTGTCCTCCCCCCTGTGGTCCCCACTCCTCGAAAGCAAGGGCGGGCTTTCCGCCAGCGCTCCGAGTTCTCCAGCCGGAGTGGCTACGGTGAGTATGTGCAGCAGATGCTGAAGCTGGGGATGCGCGTACGCATGCTGGACGATTACGAGGAGATCAGTGCCGGGGATGAGGGCGAGTTCCGGCAGAGCAACAACGGCGTGCCCCCTGTGCAGGTGAGTCTGCGGGGGTAGGAGGGGACGGGACACTGCAGGGACATCCATGCAGCAGGCTCTACCTGGCCACCCAAGAGGAGACTCCCATAAGGGGGTTAGGATGGTAAATTGGGGTCAGAAGTTGACCCCCCTCAGGGAAGAGAGGCCATGTGGATGTGCGATGAGGTCAGGGGAGAGACTCATACTCCAGGAGCAGAAGCAAGGGAGACCCATGGTAGAGGTGGGTAGGGGAGATAGGAGCAGGAAGCTTTGTGCTACATG